CGGCACCCTACAGTTCCCTGGTGGACCCAGTGGACCACAGTGGCTGTGGTCCTCAGTTCGGGCTGTTCCCCAAGGGCTGATCTGCCTCTAGGCGGGGGTGACTTGTGGTCACCAAGCATGCAGGGGCTGGTCGGGAACGGGGAGTGGAGGTGGGCGAGTTCTCAGTGGTGGCCAGCCCTGCAAGCAGGGGAGAACACCCTCCCCTGAAGGGTGCAGCCTCGGTGGGGAGCTGAGCCATACTCAGGAGAACCGGAGTCAGAGCGAGGGGACACGGTTGGTCCTGGTTGCTAGCGTCCGCTTGTCCCCATCATAGGATGCACCACTGCCGCATCAGAAATGTGCTGGTGCCGTGCCCTCTCCCCTAGTCAGTGCCAGAGTCTGTAAGAAACTTGCCAGGCGTCCGTTTTCCAGAGTGCATAATAGCCGTGCCCTTCAGATAGTTTGTTCTTGCTGGGCTCTGGCCAGTTGGTCGGGTTCTGGCTTTGCTTGAGCTGCGTCCTCATGGAGAGGAGGCTGAGAGTTACTTTATTGGTCTGCTTGCTTCCTGGTGTCCGCAGTCACAGCCATCTCTGCGGTGAGTCACTGCACAAGGGCTCCGCTCCCCTACTGTTCGATGGTCACCCCTTTCGCTCCGAGATGGGACTTCTTTTCCTTGACCTGTGGGTAGCCCCCAGCCGTGGACTGTTGAAATGCCCAGTGAGTATGGCGCACTAACAGGGTACCTATTTAATGGGAGGAGAGCGTTTTGTGTGGAGATGTCAACTGTCAGGCTGCTTCCTGAGCAGCATGTCCTAAGCAAAGCCCCTCTGTTTTCCTTTTTGCTCCATGTTTAGCTGCGCGTGCGTGTTTGGGTTGCATGTTTGTTTTAATTATTACTAGGAAGCCAAAAAAGGTATTTATCAAATGTTTGAATTTACAGAAGTGTTACTGTGGACAAGCAGAAATAGTAGCTATATGTTTATCCAGGATACCACTGATTTATCTCTCCTTATCCCACCTTGTTGCTGTTTTGTTGGAAGAACCCTCTGATTTGTACCCTGGTTCAGTTTGGATTTTACTGTTGAATGTGAATAGAGGCTGGCCTGGTTGTTTGCTGAAGTGGAGGGACTCGAATGGGTGGGCTTCAGGCTGCCAGCCTTGGCTGTCCCTGCAGCCCCAGGAGCCTGACACGCAGTGCCTTTGTCAGGAAGGTGGAGTTTGGCCAGGCTTTTTCTTTGGCTTCGCCTGGGAGCAGCTCTGCTGGCGACAGCAGGTGGCCTCCTCTCTGCTGCGGGAAAGGGAATTCTCTCTTCATCTGGTTTTTACTTTCTTCTTATCCTATGGAGGTGAGAGGGAGGAGAGTCTCAGAAAAATGCGTCCTGGAGCCAGGCGGGTTCAGGGCAGGACAGGTTTGCAGCTTCCTCAGAGCTTACCCCAAAGTTTTCCTTGCACCCGGCATTTCCCTTCTTCCCTGTTGATCCCGAACCAGTCTTGTCATCTGTGGCTTAGAGACTGCACTTGAACTTTATCAGTCACTCTTGGGAAGACCTTGGAGTGTGGCACCAAAACTTGTCCAGATTGCTCTGTCAGTTTCACACCAGAACACGAAACCCTGTTTCGGTGGCTGTGGTGCTATTTTTAAATCAGTTCGATGGCTTTTTTCTAAATGATGTAGGGGGTACATGAATATATTATGCTCTTGCACCTCACCCTCCCATCCAAATAGTGGAGAAGTGAACAGCAGATGTAGAGTCCTCCTTCCTCTGGCACGCTTCCCCCATGTGCCGCCTCCCTGCTGGGTCCTCAGCACTAACTAATTGTAATTTCCATCAGCCTATACAGATGCAAACACACACAGTTTTGTTTCTTTTGTAAGCATAAATCTGATTGCATGATATATATCCTTTCATTATTTTATCTTTTCACATAATGGATCTTGTAGATCTTTTCTTGCATGTAGTTCTTCTCTCTTTTAATTTGTCTACAAAACATTTTATAGTATAGATATATCATAATTTATGAGTCAGTCCCCCATTGATAGGCATATAAAGTGACTCATTAGTTTTGCTATTATATCTTCATACATACATGCTGTTATGCACACATGCGTGTGTTTCTCTAAGAGTGGAATCAGTATGCCACAGGTTCTACTCATTTAAACTGTTACAGCAAATCCCCACACTGTGCTCGCCAGGGCTGTACTGGTTTAAACTACCAATAGTGTATGAGGCTGCCCATTTTCCCACAGGCTGCCATTCTGCTAGGTGATAGAAATGGACAGTGTTTAGTAGGCATTTCATCCATCACTGGTATGGCTATGAGACTCGTTTGGCTTCCGGATCTTAATTGCGGGGGGGGGAGGTGTCTATCATAACCATGGAGGATGAGGGAGCTGAGCCCCCGAGGACCAAGGCTCTGCTCAAGGTGTCCTGCCGCCAGGGGTGGCAACGTGGCCCTGGAAGCCAGCGCTTCTGGTTTCACGTTCTCTCCGCTTTTCCCAGAGGCTGGGCACTGTAATAGAGCACTATAATTTTGGTGTAACCTGCCAGAGTCTTTCTGCGAGCCTCTCCCCGAGAAAGCAAGTGCTTATAAGCAGCACGTTGATACCAGTTCTGTTCTGCACAGCCAAGGCAGGGATTCCAGGCTGGTGAGCTGAACTGGGGGGAACGTATAAGGATCACATGATGGAAAATCAGACTCTCTTGCTTCTGAAATAGCCTCCATGCATGTAGTGAAGCGCGATTCTGCGTGTGGTGGGGCTTTCCTTCCAGCAGTGTGGTGATCCGTGCCCCACTTCCCTGGTTTGTTATGCGAGTATTGTGATGGTTTGCCTCTGAGCAGGGTTCCTTAGGTGTTCCAGGGGCCTGATCTGGTAGAGGACACATCTGGAGGCCATCACCTGGGCCGTCCCTGCAGGCTGAGCAGCCCAGTGGGCTTTGGGAGGCTCTGACTTACTGAATGACAGCGTCCTTTACCTGTGGTTCAAAGAGGGCCAGGGAGAAGGAGTGATGGAGGGGCAGCCCGGGGTGGTGAAGAGACTCTAGGATCATTTCCAGCTCCCACTCCGTCGTTTATGGCTGTGTGACTTAAGCACCGTTATCCTTTCTCCCTGGGCCTCGGTTTCCTCACCTGTAAACCAGGAATAATATCAGTACCCACCTCACAGGGTCGTTCCGGGGATTCAGAGAGTAATGTTTGTAAAGCTCTGAGCGTATTCCCTAGTGAGTACTCAGCAGTTGTAAGCAACTACTACGCTTATTTGTGTCCTCCTGTCCTTAATAAGTGTTTTTTAAATGCATGAATGCGCGTTACATTTGCTAAATGTAAAAATGCACATCCTCTAGTAACGAATGTCAAGGAGGGCAGAGGCAGACCTGGATCAGCTGGGGTTGTGGGAGGGTAGCTGGCGAAGGTGGCAGGTTGGGCAGGAGAGCACATTTGATGTCCTCTTCCGACACCAGCCCTGCTGTGAGACACCGAGGCCCCAGAGCAGAGGCCTTCCCTTTTCTTAAGTAGATTGGGTGCTGGGGATCCTTCGTGCTGCCTCTCCCTTTTGTTTTTGAGGAGGCCGAGCCAGGCCCTGAGAACTGAGGTGCAGCTACGGGCCTGGTCGTTCAGAGCAGAGGTGGGACCAGGTCTCCAAGCCCTGGGAGGTTGAGGCTCCTTACCCTGCTCTCCACGCAGGGTAAACGGGCCACGTGCTGCCCATTTCAAGATGCAGGAAAAGAGAAGCACACGGTGTTGGGCGCTTTGCAGAGCCTGCTGTCTGCTGCTACTGAGTTCGCTGTGAGCTGAGGTCGCTCAAGTGCAGGGAAGGTAACGGAAGTGTAACCCACAGCGGGGCAGGGCTGGGGCTCACGCTTTACCTTCTGCCTAGTCACAGCCCTAACAGTGCTGGCCCTGGGATGCTGTCTGTGCTTGTTTCATACCCCCGACCGTGCGCGTGCGCATGTGCATGTACGACGGCAGGTTCGTTTGAAGTCCCTGATTTGTTTGCTGATGATTTTTACCCAGTCTGGAGAGACCTGCGGTTGAGTGCGGGGAGGACTGTACTCAAGGCTCCAGAGCTGCCCAGGCCGCCCAGGCGCAGGTGGGCAAAAGGAAACCTCACTCCTGGGAGTGGAGCTTGGTGGAGGAGCCTGGTGTCTGCGGGCCTGGGAGGACCAGAGCTGGCTGGCGAGGACACAGGCAGGGCCTGGGCAGACTGCAGGGCTTACAGAATGCCAGGTGCAGAGGCCCGAGATGTGAGTCCAGTAGTGTGTGTGGAAGTGAACTACGAAAGCAAGATCAAGTGGCCTGCGGTGTGAGAGAGGTTTCAGAGTAGCGCGTGGTGCGTGCCGGAGGTGCTGCCCTAAGTGTGCATCAGTGGCACGGAGACGTCACCTTGGCTCCCGGGGTCTGAGAGGGCCTCGCAGAAGCGGCGCAGATTAAAACAAGCCTTGCTTGCTCCTTGGAGAGCAGGTCGACCTGGCTTGTGATCCACCCTCAATTTGCAGATGCGGACCCTGAGACCCGGTGAGCTCCCTGGTTCGGGGTCACGGCCCTGCCGAGGACAGGCGAGCCTGGAGCCTGCCCTGCCTGCCCTCCGCTCCACACGTGTGCTCACGGAGTGCTGCATATAGCAGCTGTTTGCTCGGCACCTGGAGTTGCTCAGGGTTACTTCTCAAAGGAGCAGGCTGGGTCCCAGTTCAGTTCTGGTCCTGGCTCTGCTGTCTCTGAGCAGAGCTGGGACGTTAGCCCCTCGGTTTTGCCCTCTTGTAGGGTGGGTATAGCACCCCTGTCTCCCTTCTAGGCTTGTCTTTGTTCACTCAAGAGCCGTTCAGCAAATACATTTTTTTATTCAGCTGGATGCTATTCTATGTGTCGGGCGTTTTGCACCAAGCAAAGGATGTCAAAATCTTCTTCTCCTGGAGCTTATTTTCTCCTGAGGGGCAGCAGACAGTAGCTGCTTATAGTTGATGGTACGTGTCCTAGTTTCTTAGGGCGCTGTGACAAAGGACCACAAACCGGATGGCGTAAACCTCAGGACCTTACCCCCTTGCGCCCTGGGGCTCTGAGGGAGGACCTGCTGCCTGCTTCTGCCCCAGCGTCTGGTGGTGCCGGCGTGCTTGGTGCCTGGATCTTGTGGCTGCACAGCTCTGCTCTCTTGCCTCCCTTACCACACGGCCTCTTTCCCGTGTCTGTGGCCCCTCTTTTCTTATGAGGGCTCACCCCCCTCCAGTGTGTCCTCATCCTAACTACGTACTTCTGGGAAGACCCTCTCTGCAAATGAGGTCACATTCTGAGGTTCCAGGTGGACGTGGATCTGAGGGGACGCTGTCCGACCCAGAACGGTATGCGAGGTAGTAATGGCTGCTGAAAAGTCCGGGCAGTGCCTGGGGCAGGGGGTCGGTGAGGTGCTGAAAGGTGGTGCAGGCAGGCCTTGCTGAGCAGGTAGTGTTTGAGCTTCCACGTGGAGGAGGGGTGAGGGGTGGAGGAGCTGAGGTATGGAGGGGATGTGGTCCAGGCCGAGGGAACAGCAAACACGGAGGCCTTGAGGTGGGCATGTGCGCCTGCCAGGCTGGTATGGGGACAGTGACATGGAAGTCGTGTGTGTGTGTTCGTGAGGCTTTGGCCTCTTGCTCCCCGCGAGATGGGAGCCACTGTTGAGTCTGCGAGCATGCTGACAGCAGCGTTGGCGTGTGGACCAGCTCGTCAAGGATTTTTCCAAGTTCAGACGGCCATTACAGTGCCTCGTCCGTGCGCCTCGATGTTTTGCAGTGATTGTTACTCAGCAGTTTCTTTTTGAAACGTCAGTGCTCTGTTGACCCTTGATCCACCGCCCTTTCCAGTCGGTTCTCCGTTCCTTCTGGATGCCTTTCCACCCACCCGCTTCCCCACACTGAAACCACAAGCATGAAGAAGAGAAAGTAGACAAGGCTGGGGGTGGCCAGGGCTGCTGGGAAGCCCGGCACGCGTGGCAGCCCTGGTGGGAGCTGCGCCTTCCCGCCAGCCCCGGGCCATCTGGTGAACGCTGTGCCCACGGTGAAGGTGTTCCTCGCCCTGGCAGACTTAGAAACTGCTGAGGTCAGTGCGAGGTCAGTGCAAGCTCAGTGCGCTCAGCTCCCCGCATCCTTCTGTGGGTCAAGTCACTATGCCGTGAAAAGAGGTGAGTCAGCCACCTCGGGCAGCGGCCTCACTTGGCCTGGAAAATACGGGGCAGGGAGGGACTTGCAGAAGCACCTGTGGAGAGCCCAGGAGCCTGTTGGGCAGTCAGTGCACTCACTCGGCCCGGGGCCCTCTCTGCCACCCACTTTGTCACTGGCCTGCAGAGTTTCGCATTCTCATTCACATTTGCTATAAAAACACTCAGGCCTGCGATGCGAGTGCCGTCATTACAGAGTGGAAGGCACCCCAGGTGTGGCTGGCCCCATGGTCCGGGGCCCGTGCCAGTTTGGTTTGCGTGGTCCTGGGGGGAATCATAACTTTGGATTCCCTGGCGTCAGAGCTGAAGGGAATCTCCTTATCTGGCTCACATTTAATTTCCTCCCTAGGCCTCCAAAGGAAAGTGCCTGGCATGTTTGTGATTGGGGCTCCGGAGGAGCGGGCCACGGGTGGCCTTGATTTCAGGCGCTCTTCCCGGCCTCCGCCTGCGAGGGTGGTGCCAGGAGCAGCCCGTCCAGGGAGGTGATCCGGGAGGCCCCTGGCGCCGCCGCCCCTCCGGGGAGCACCGCTTTAGAAGATAATTACGTGTAAGTGGAGATGGAAATAGAATTCCCCAGCGCTAGGAGCAGCTGCTCCTCTGTAGGATTTCAGGAGCTGCCTTTGGGCACCAGTCACTCACTAACCCCTGCCTCCCAGCAAAACACACACCCACGCAAAATGAAAGTGAGGCAGACTGTGCCTGGCTAGAGACGGAGCGTTAGAGTGTGTTTTGTGGGACTGTAGTTCCTCTCCGGAGTCTTTTCTGAGGGTGCTTCCCCAGCACAGCAGAAGAGCTTCCTTGTTTGCCAGACGCTACAGGAAACTTTGAATCAGGTAGCGTCCCCAGGAGTCTGTGGAGTCTGGCCTCGATTCCGCATTAGAGGCAGAGAGGCCATGCCCAAGAGTGGGAACCAGGCAGGGCCCCAAGGGTTCTCGCAGAACAGGCTACTTGTCCTGTGCCCAGGTGGCCTTTGTCTCTGTGCTGATGGCTCTCAAGCACTTGGTAAAGAAGTGCTTGTACATAAGTACAGGATATGGGCCCTGATTTTTGTTTGTTTGTTTGTTTGGTTTTGGTTTTGGTTTTTTAAACTGGGCATCTGTGAGTTAGCTCAGGACCCTGAGAGCTCAGTCTCCTGGCCCCGCAGCGAGACTGGTCTCATCCCTGCAGCCTTGGGGCATCTTTAACCTGGGGGTTGGATGACATGGTTGTCACGCGTGTCTCCTTCCTTGTGCTCCTCGCAGCCCTCTGCACAGGTCCTGGGCTGATTTGCCTGCACCTACGGTGGGAGCTCCCTGAGGGCAGTGGGAGCCTGGCACATGCGGAGCTTCCAGGAGCTTCCCTGCGGCCCTTGTCCTGCTTGGCCAGACCCCCAGGGTCTTGCTTTCTGGGTGAGCGTTGAGGCGGAAGGAGGAACAGGTGGGGGGGTTTGATGTGAACCCCTCTCCTGGCTCCGGGGGCAGGTGTCCCCAGCTGTTCAGCGTGAGCTCCTTGTTCCCGTCTCAAGTTTCATGCAACTTTTGATCCTTGTGCTAAACAAAGTGCCTTTATTTCTGGATGTTGTCATGAGAGTTGTTTTTGCAATTATTGGTAAGGCAGAAAAGAACGGATCATGACGACAAAGTTGTCTATATATTCCAAATTTAAGAAATGTCTCTGCATTAGAAAAATACTACAAAGAATTTAATTTCAGTGGTTGTGTCTGGATTTTGGTATTACAGGAGGTTTTTTATCTTTCTGTTTTTCGGCAGTTTCCATTTTCCATGTATTGTCTAGATAATAAAAGCTATAAAAATTGCTACAAATAATAAATAGCTGTTTATTAGGATCCAGTATGTGCTATACACTGTCAGAACTTGCCATTACACTCTTATTTGATCCTCACTATGAACCTGTAAGGTTCTCTTTTTAAAAAAAATACAAATGCTGACATATTTTATTTTATTGTGGCGAAATCTACAGAACTTACCTTTTTAACCATTTTTAAGCTCTGTGGCATGAAGTACGTTCACCGTGAGATCCTTTCTTTAAACTCCTTATTTTATAAATGAGGAAGCTGAGATTTGGAGAAACACAGCTGCTTAAGGTCACAGAGAGTAAGGAGTTCCAGAGGCGGGATGTGGATGCAGGGCGATGATACTCGGAGGCCTGGGATCTCTGGTTTGTGGCTGTTGGAGTCTGTGATTACTTACCCTGCCCCATGATCGCTGCTTGATCGCAGAAAGCCTGTGTGTGTCTCGTGTGTGTGTCTCCTTTGACAGCTCTAGGGTTGGGCTTTGCGTTTTTACAGGGAGGAGCGTGGTGAGCCTGGCTCAGGGCACGAGTGACTGACATAAGTGACACCAGGGTTGATGACTAATGTAATCCTGTTTGTCTTTGTTCGAACCGTGGAAGCGTGTGTGTACATGGGGTGGCAGGGGGGCAAGGCCTGTGTGTTAAGAGTTCTGTCTCCAGCAGGTGCTCAGCCGTAGGGGACAGTGGAAGGAGCAGTGGCCTAGAGCTTAGATACCCGGCTTCCTCAGGTCTGGGCGCACGGTGCGGGGTGATTTTAGAGAAAGGGCATTGCACTTGGAGTTAGAAGTTCTGTGCTGCAGTCCTGATTTTACCACGTGGTTGACATGCTTTGGCCTCAATTTCCATATTTCTAAGTGGGTGATAAAAATGCTTGTTCTGCTTGCCTCCCGTGATTGCAGAGATTAAATGTCATGATGGGGGAAAAGCGCTAAGTAAACTAAAGGTCTACCAAGGAAATGTCTAGGATGGGAATTTTGAGTGCTCAGTGGTGGGGGGAGGAGTGTCTGTGGCTGACCCCGGAGACTTGAGGAGGGAGGATTTGGATGTGAAGAGTGGCAGGTTTGCTTTGGCTTGTTTTCTTTGGTTGGGGCCATCAGCGTGCTTCCTCCACTATTGCTTAGTTGGTGATATATAGGGTCCCATTGCCTGCCTGTATGTTGGGATGCTCTGGGATTTTACTGGCATGTGACTCTGCCAAGGTCCTTGGTCCACGCCCACCCCCCAACCTCCCCAAGACTCACATCCGTCTAGTGACATGAATTGTAACGAAGGGGGTCATTTTGTAGCCACATGGTGGTTGAAACTATGCAGCAACTTTCCCTAGTTTTGTCTGTCTTCCTCGTCTTTACAGCAAGTACCAGTCTGTCTGTTTCTATTCCCTAATCTTGAGGAGACAAACACAGGAGTGGGTGGGGCCTGGAGGATTGTTGCTGGTGAGGGAAGGCTCTCACCATCTTACGGTGGATGCAGTGCTTGCTTCTTTCTGCACCAAGACACCGTGCTATGCAAGACACTGTGGAATATCACAATAAAGAAGACAGGATCTCAGCTCTCAAAGAGTCCACTGTGTCCTGGAGAAGACGCAGCTACTCCAGAAACATCTAGGAGGGTGAGGGATAGGTAGCTTGCAAAGCAACTGTCAAGAGAGGTGGCGGCCCTTTGTCTAAATGAATGAAAATGCATCATAGGGGCTGGTCAGGGGGGTGAATTGTCAGCATGACTTTGGGACTCTTTGCTTTTTAACAACCACTTGAATCAGCTGTTTTAAAGCTAGGGCTTCTGTCTGGCTACCCCCAAGATAATTTTTTGAGCCATCACTGTTTCCGTGCACATTTCAAATGACTGGAAAGCCAAGGATTCTGTGTAGGGCCCTGCGGAAGTCAGTGGTCCCATCTCACCGCCTGCTTGGTTTTGGCTTTGGGAATGGTACTAGAAGACTAAGTAGGTCACGGAGATCTATTTTGAACTGGGTGTGGCTGGGTTGCCTGGACATTTAATTTCCGGATCAAATCCTGTTGGACTTGTTTGCCCAGGAGGTTGGCAACGGGCATTCTCTGGTCAGTCGTGTTGTATATTTATAAAGTGTGAAGAGTCTGGAGGTAGGGAGACATGCCAGCCACTTCTCCGTTCCTGTAGGTGCGCCGGTGGTGGAGAGGTTTCAGAAACCTTCCAGAAGCCAGGGGAGTGTAGTTTTCCCACGCTGCTTCCTTGAATTTTCTGAAAATGGTCGGTTCTCACTAACTTCATGAAATCTTTTTCTTTTAAAGAATGAAATTTAGTTAGTACCCAGAGCTGGTTGGCTTCTGTTTATATTAGTAAGAGCTGCTAGTTGCTGATTGAACCTTTTAGGTACATTAT